GAAAGATTCAAGGCCCAGTTGCATGCATGGACCGCACGGAAAGGAACATGCATGCATACATGGACAGCTCTGCAACGTACGTATAGACTACTTCAACAGAAACCACACTAACATAGTACAACTAACTTGGAGAAAAGCAATTCGCAACGAGCAAAGTTGCTAGCTAGCAGCCACCTTCTCACGGCTGCTAGACATACCATCGATTTGTTTTATCATTCTCGGGGTCAGAGGAATCTCTGTGTTTAATTGTAAAACGACACCATTACGGCAACGGGCAAACGCCGCCATGCCTGTAAACATTGGCACGTCATCCAGCACGGCAAGCAGCGGAGTGCACATCTGCTGCATCACTAGATTTGACGGCCTCGGCTGTCGTTGCGCAGCGTGATGCACACAAGAACTTTCGCGCCATATTCGATGTAATAAAGTCTTATATTATAGGATGGAGGGAATAGTAGTCATGTGATTTGGCCCTTATGTAACTATATCCACTTCTTTCCGTTCGAGCAAGTGTGCGTTTGATCGGTGCAATCAACCCATATATCTTTGGCGGAAGGACACAAAGTCATCGTAGGTGTCTCTCTATCAATGGAGACGTCGCCTCGAACAAAAAAAATCGCCTTTAAAGACAAAGGTTTTTAATTTTGGAAACAAAATAAGTTCGGACCTCACTGAAATTTCGGAAATTATTTCGGATATTTAGATTTCAAATTTTACTTAACTTTAATGAATTCTTACATGATTTAAATTTGTTCTAAAATCAGTTTGAAAATTCCTCAAAATTTCAGGGTTCAAAAAATTTCTGACACCACTGAAATATGCAAAATTTCAGAAACTTCGTTGAATTTTTTAACCCCCAAAGCATCAAACCCGTGATTCGATTCTTGGTGGGTTAGGGATACCACTGCCCTCCTAACGATCTAACCACATGTTGGTTCTCGGTCGTTGAGGCCCCTATTAACATACTAGAAGGTCTTCTGCCCACCTGTGGACCCGAATCAGCCAGAGGGTTCTTATTTTGCTATGGGAATAGTGGCCCTAGCGCAGACTAGTTCGTAGCTAATTCTGTAACAAATGATGACCCATGGCCTAAGCACGGATTGATAGGGGTTTCTAATGGCTAGGAGTGCCCAAAACAGTAAATCCAATGTCCCAAATTGCTAGTGCTCTGATATGGCTGGATTATCACTCAATATTAATGTCTTTAGATAAATGTATATATGCAGCCTCCCCCGCGGTGTTAGAAACGCTTCCTACAACACAAGTTTTAGATTTGTACTTGTAATTATTATTTTTGTGAAATGTCTTGGATCCAATTGATTTATTTTTGGACCGGAGGATCCAAATGATTTAGGTGTTTATCCTAAACTTACCAACTAATTTGCTTCATACAAGTATGTTATTCATTGTAAAATGAATTGGAGAACAAGATAAGAGAGAAGTGTAAGGTATGTGTGGAGAGACCCATTGATGCAAACTGGATTTAGTTAACGATTTTGGTATAAAATAGAAACATCGATCTTATAGCAAACAATGGGAATGGGGAGCTCTGATAAGCCTGAAGGGTACCTACATAATTGTACACTTATATTTCTTTGTTTACAAAACAAGCATGGCAACACCGAACATATAAACCTCAAAAACTTCAAGACTTTCTCCGATAGGATACAATCAAGCTACTTCTACTCTTGCAAGGAGTGGTGTCGTCAAATCCAGTTGAGTAATTTCCTGAAGGATTCCATTTTTTTTTCAATCACTCCTGACAGATTCATCAACATGCCTGGCAACTTCAAATTATGGGAATCAAACTTAATTAATTTGAGGGATGGAAGACCTTCTGGCGAGGAGCATTATCACTAAACCCAATGCCCTTCCTATTGGTGGGGAAGATGATGAACACAAAACTGGAAAGAAACGCCATGCCCATCGGCAGGTTCTTGAGCAGCTCCTCAGTGTTCCTGCTGGCATCCGGGAAGAAGCAGTTCTGCAGCCCACAGCGGTTGGAGGCGGAGCCTTCGGAACTGGTCAAGATCGTTCCACTCCTGCCTTTCTTCCTCGCTGGAGAAGTTGAACACGTTGAAGCCATGTAGTGTGGCGAAGCCGTCGGCGACTGACGACGCTGTCGGTGAAGGAGAAGAAGAGGCATAATAGCGCGAGGACGGCCACCAGCACTCCTGTGAGCCACTGGTTGGAGGTCTCGCACTTGCCGTGGTTGGTGAAGGACGGGGGAGCTGCGCCAGGATCGCGACGCTGGACATGACCGCGGCCGGTGCAGGCCCATGGCATTGGTGGGGACGTGCCATTGGCTGTTATTTTACCGTCGCTCTCGTTGGTCGGTAGATGTATCTGGATCGCCATGGACGATGGTGAAGAAGTAGATGCCATTGTATGCGTACTGTGCTTGATCTGTGTCCCAGCTTGGAAAGTTGGAATACTGCAAATTGATCTAGTTGTAGCTCTTTATATAGGCACATACATCCTACGCCAATGATTCCAAAGTCTAAGGGCCTGTTTGATTTCGAGGCAAAAGCTGCCTAACCAAAAAAAGGGCATTGATTGGGCGCTAGACTGGACGCCCAGGCTGCGTCCAGTCCGCCACTTCATTTTCACGTCAATTAGATGATACCTCGCACGTTGTTGCGGGGATATTTTGCAATATTTCAGTATGATTTATTGCATGATACATGAATATTCAAAGTAATAATATAAAAAGCTCACACTGAAAATACATAGGAGTATAATTTATTATGTTTGATTACTATATAGTTGTAACTTTTTTATTAATTATAAATAGCATAATAGAATGAAATTTCTTATATATGTTTGGATGTTGAGATGAGTCTTTTTTTCATGCATGTTTAATGATGAAGTGGCATGCTTGCATGTAGAAAAATATGATAGTGGGGGTGCGCATTTTCTCATGCATGTTATGGGATGATGTGACATGCTTGCATGTTAAAAGAAATAGTTAGTGAGGGCTAGCTATTTAGAGATAGAAGATATAGTTGGCTGGGGTGTGGGCGAGCAAAAGGTTCGCCAACATTTTGGCGTGCCCGCGAGTTGGAAGGGCAGGCACCGGCATAATCCAAACAGCCCCTAAACTAGGTTGGCGTGTTGATTAGTCTTACTTGGCATTGCTGAAGGGCTGCATGTACCTGGACTTCAACTCTGTAGCTAGTTTTGATTAATGGTTAATCAGTGTGTAAGTTGAAATTAACTTATAACCAACTCATATGACGTGTAGTTTGCAACCAGCACGTGAATTTAATTGGTGATATACGTTATGTAAGTCTTCTTCTAGGAAGGTGAGGAAGGAGAACTAGTAGCTAGTCATCGGCACGTAAGTACACCATTTCTTACTCACGCTAATGTCCTCCAAATGATCTACTCGTTCCAAATTACATCGCACATATATAAAATATATACTAATGAAGTTGTTATTGCTCTACATAACGAAAGAGGCTTATCTAAAAAAAAGGTCATGCATTTTGGAAGTGAGGGAGCACTGGTCCCGTGAAAAATTCCGAAACCTTAGAACTTGCAAGCCAAAAGGATATAATTTTTTTCTAGAAACACCGAGTACAATATAGACATGCTCACATCACACCACCACATGCACGAACTCACACAACACTTGCTGCAGATTGGAGTCACGAAGCTTCAACATTGAAAAGGTCACCACAAGATAGCGCCTCGCTAGACGGAATGTCACCTCCCCATTGAAAGAATACTCCTCCACATCAATGAACCAACCACCAACATGGATCTTGGTGGGTTTGAAGTACAACTGCCATGCTGACCATCCAATCACAGGTTGGTGGTTGGTTCTTACGTATGTACTAGAAACGGTGTCATTTAACACATATTCAATTTTTGTTTTAGACCTGCGCAACATGCATTTGCACATAAAATTATTATTTTGTGTGTAGTTATCCTAAACTTAGGTGTTTATCCCAATTAATTTAAGTAGTTGTCCAAATTTATGTACTAACTAATTTTATACAGATGGGGCACGAAAAAAGTGTTGTGTCCCATAATGGGAGAGACCACTTGGACAAATTGGATTTAGTTCATTATCATTTTTGTGACATAATGATGTCAGTCTTAAAGCAAACAAAGGGAATGGAGGGTTGGGATAATCCTTAGGAGGCTGGGATGCTTACATACTTGTACAGTTGATTTTGATGGCAGAAAAACTCTTTGTTTAAATGAAAACTATAACATACAATATATAAACATGAAAAAATTCATGTGTCGTTTCTCCGGCGATGTACGGTTAAACAACTTCTGTTACAAATTCCATTGTGTTCAATCAATTCATTATTTGGACTGGGTTACTCCCATTTTCATTACGTTGACATAACGGAACTACATTGTCTGGTTATAGCAAACATGATATGGGGGAAAAGAGTGAATTTATGCAATACTAGGAAACACAAGGTGTACATACGCAATCGGCATACACATTACAGTAAAAAATCTGATTACACTATAACTACTAAACCCTACCCGCACAAAAACAGACGATAATAACATCCACCCCATCATATTACATGCAGCACAAAATTTGTTTAACACAAAATCAATATGGGTGACAATTACATATATTTTGGCTGGTCTCCTTTGTTTATCAAATTCTAAGAATCAAACTTTATTCAAGGAATGGACGACCTTCTGTTGAGTTGGGTCATTGAATCCAATGCCCTTCCTTTTGGTGGGGAAGATGATGAACATAGAGCTAGACAAAAAAGCCATTCCAAGCGGCAAGTTCTTCAGCAGCTCCCGGGTATTCCTGCCGGCGTCCCGGAAGAAGCAGTTCTGCAGTCCCACATCACTGAACGCCACCGTGAGGAAAACCACAGCCGTGAAGAAGGTGTGCACGAAGTCCAGTAAACGAAGCCAGAGCCTGCGGAACTCATCAAGACCGGCCCACTCCCGCTTCTCGTCTTCGTCGGAGAAGTTGAACACGTTGAAGCCGTCCGGGGTGGCGACACCATAGTAGAGCTTTCCATCATGGTGGCCAATGACGCTGTCTGTGAAGGAGAAGAAGATGCAAGCATAGGCCAGGACAATAACCAGTGCCGTGGTAAGCCACTGGTTGGACGAGACTGGATTTTCTACCATGCACGGAAGGTCCCGTGCATGGTCTAGTTGGCACTCTTTGTAGAATACCCTATTCATACGTCTAGAGCTATGCATCAACATTAAGTGATACACAGGCCCAGTAATGCAAATTAAATGTCATCCCTGTGTGGAACCAGTCTATCTATACAAAAGCTAGCATTTTATTTTCTTGTGAGATATTAATTCGTCAATATATTTTGAATATTAATTCCTTATTTAAATATTTTAAAATATTTGAATTCCTAACGACATGCTCTTTAAAACAAGGTTAATATTGAATATGTTTTAATTGAGTTTCAATGTCATCAACATATTTCACTCATTTTTTAAACTGATTTGACTCATTTTAAAAGCATATTCCAGTCATTTAAAATAATCACTTATCTCAAAATGTTGACTTTACACATTCCAAACAATGCTTTTACCCAGTTGGAACAAACTAATTTTGCTTAATTCGGAAAAACGATTTCACTAATTTCAATAAAATAATTTCACTCAATTTTATTTGTATTTCACTCATTAAAAATCATTTCAATAACTTATTTAATCATTAAAAATTTCTAAAGGTTAAAATTATAGCGTGTTTACAATATATCAAAGGTTGATCTTGTTCTAAAGGTCTTGATACGATGAGTTCAAATATATAAAAATTTCCAAAAAAGGAATTTTGGTTTCAAAGATATTAGATTTTGTAAAGGAAACTAAAAATGATGGATTTTGAGAGGAAGAGAGGAGATGTTGTCATCCATGCATGTGTCACAGTTTGTGAGCACACAGAGAGAGAAACGCATGCATGGCATTAAGTGGACTGACATGATACAATGCTGTATTAATGCAAATGGCATACTCTATACGTATACGCGAAGCATAGTTTGCATGCACTCGGATCTCCAGCATAATCCAACGGTGGATGCATGCACTGGACCTCCCGTGCATGGCAGAATCACTTTTCTCTTGGTTGGAGGTCTCACACTTGCCATGGTTGGTGAAGGATGGGGACAATGTCTGGTCCGTCAGCACCGTGCCCGTTGGCAGGAGCTGGGCATGGTTCGCAACGCTCGACATGACCTTGTTTGTGGTAGGCATTGGGACTGCCGTGCCGGTAGCTGCTATCCTGCTATCATCGTTGTTGATCGGTGGAATTATGTGGTTCGCCATGGACAATGGAGAAGAAGAAGAAGAAGATGTGATTGTACGTATGTACTGTGCTCGATTAGGGCGCACACTTGTCCTAGATAGGATTGTTCATGTACGCTGCTGTTATATAGGCAAATTAATCAAAAAGTCCTAGCTAGCTAGGTATACATGCATGCATGTACCTGAATTTCAACTCTCTACTCTCTAGCTAGTTGTGTTTAAAAGTTTGTGTAAGTTGCAATTGAATTATTACCAACTAGTATGACATGAATAGTTAATTAAGCAGCACGTTATTTTTATTGTTACTAAGACTTCTTCCGGGAAATTGAGGAAAGAGAACTAGCTAATCATCGGCTTGTACATACTTGCGTGAATTTCCTACTGATCTCCTCAGACTGGTTGATTCCACGTGGGTTTTTGAAACAGATGAAGCAGGCATGCAACTTATGCAAGCAAACAGACAATACTTACTCGTGTGCTTGCACCAAAATGAATGGGAGCCACACTGCAGCAAAGAGGGTGATTTTTCTACCACGTACGTGTATTAAAAAGTGTCCATTGGTCAACTGTTCAATGTGTTGGAGATTCGTGCGTCCAGATGTTGTTCATACTCCATATGACAACGCATTAAGATACACCTTACTTGAAACAAATTCACACACGCGCACCAACATCACTCTCACCAGCTAGCTTCCCCGCCCTCATATGATCCTAGCTAGAGAAACTGGGATCTCGTATTGCGGCAACACTGACCGTGTCCATAAAAAACAGATGAACATTGACTTCTTGAACCATGATACATTATAGTACAATTATAAGAACAAAACCTGGTACGTAAAGCAACTTGGCGCAGCCACTCCTGCTAACTAGACATGCATGTGCATGACATGAGAGATGCTTATGATTGACACGGTATAAAAGAGAGCGACCTCAGAG